TCAATTATAGGCTGCAAACAAAGGGAGGGGGAGACTATCCGAGAATACATCACGAGGTTCATAAACGCTACGCTGAATGTACCGGGGCATGACGAAGGGCTCATTGCTGGTGCTTTCACATGGGGACTCCTGCCTGGGCCCCTCTCGCAAAAACTCATGGGAAAGAAGCCTCTAACACGAGCTGAGTTGAAAGAAAGAGTGGAGCGATACCTACGGCATGAAGAGGGTGAGGCAGCCAAGCAGGCCTACTTGAAAGCTATGGAGACTAGACGTCACCACCCGACCCACACGGACTTCCGAGGGGGAGGAAGACATTATGGCCAAGCAAGAAGACCATCACCGTGTTTCCGACCATTTATCAAAGACGACAGACGGGGTCGCCGCCCAGAAGTATGTGTAGTATCCGAGAAACAGCAACCAGCCAATCCGCCCAAGAGTCGGTACTGTGAATACCATAAAAGCAAAACGCATGATACAGCTAGTTGTTCGGTGCTAAAGAAGGAGATGGAGGAGGAACAACTTAAGGGAGACCTGGTGGAGGTGGTGCGAAGCCTACGCGCCAAATTCGATGCTGGGAACGCCAAGGGTCCATCCCGCGAAGGAGTTCAGCCCAATGAGATATTCATGATACGCAGTAAAAGAAGTAGGGAGGAACAGCGAGGAGAGCAAATCATTGTTAAACCGCTAGCACGCACACTCACATTCTCCATACAGGATCCTCGGCCAGACGGTTGGAAGGGAGACAACCCTCTGATAATATAGGCATCCATCAAGGACGTGACTATCCATAGGGTCTATGTCGACACCGAGAGCTTAGCAAACATCATATATGAGCATTGTTTCCTGCTCCTCCCGGATCACTGGAAAAACAATTTGTGACCTACGACAGGTAGGCTGGTGGGATTCACCGGCCACAGCCTGTGGCCGTTGGGCACGATTCACCTTCCCTTAACAATCACTACCCACAACAAGCAGCGGAAGAAGACCGCCCTGATAGACTTTGTAGTCATTCGGCACCCGGCGGAACACAACATCATATTGGGAAGGACCGCCCTCCTAAAGCTAGGGGCCGTACCTTCAACCATGCATGGGATCATGAAGTTCGACACCCCAAAGGGCAAAGCCACTATTCTAGCTACTTCGCCCAGAGAATTGCGGTGCTATACGATTATGGAGCCAGCAGAAATAACCAAAGGGCCCAAGAGGCCCAGGGGCAGTCTGGCAAAAGGAAAGGAGGTAATAAATGAGGGATATCCCGATCAGCCGATCGATGTTGGAAGCGACCTCCCAAGCCACACAAGAAGAGCACTAGTAGACCTACTCAAATGCTAAAAACATGTATTTTCTTGGACCCCCACGGATATGGTGGGGGTAGAAAGGAAGGTCATCAAACATAAGTTGATGATCAAACCGGGGGTAAAAGAGGTTAAGCAGAAGAAAAGAGTACAAGGAGGAGACCGTAACAGGGCAATCAATGCAAAAGTGGCTAAGTTGACAAAGGCTGGAATAGTAAGGGAGGCGACGTTCCCAACATGGATCGCAAACCCAGTTATGGTCCGTAAGCAAGATGGGTCGTGGCGCATGTGCATCGACTTTTCTGATCTAAACAAGGCGTTCCCTAAAGACTGCTACCCACTCCCGGAAATCGATCAGAAGGTAGAGTCGCTACACGGATACAAGCTAAAATGCTTCTTGGACGCATACAAAGGGTATCACCAGATATTGATGAGCAAAGAAGACGAAGAGAAAACAGCCTTCTATACAGACCATGGCACGTTCTGCTACACCAAGATGCCTTTTGGGTTAAAAAACGTGGGGGCAACATACCAACAACTAGTTGACTCGATATTCGCCAAGTAGATTGGAAGGAATATTGAGGTATATGTAGACGATATGGTGATCAAAAGCCCAAATGAAGAAAAAATGCTGCAAGACATCGAAGAGACTTTCAAAACATTAAAGGTAACCAAGATGAAACTAAACCTAGCCAAATGCACGTTTGGAGTGGAAGAAGGGCAATTCTTGGGTTATTATGTTACCATACAAGGCGTCCAGCCCAGCCCGACCAAGGTCGACGAGTTCATCGAGATGCCAACCCCAAACTCTCTTAGAGATGCACAAGGTCTGAATGGGAAGCTCACGGCGCTAAGTAGGTTCATCTCAAAATTTGCCGACAAGACTATGCCATTGTTCCACACCTTAAAGGGATGCATCGAAAAAAACAATTTCCAATGGATGAATAAGGCAGAGAAGGCGCTCCAAAGAATCAAGGAGGCACTGCACAAGCTGCCGACCCTGGCAACCCCCATCCCGGGAGAAACATTACAAGTGTATCTATCGACGTCAGGTGAAGCGATATCATCAGTATTGGCTGTGGAAAGGGAAGGAGAGCAGAGACCAATATCCTTTGTTAGCAGAGCACTGCAAGGACCAGAGCTCAACTATCCCACGCTGGAAAAACTGGTGCTAGCACTCATCTACGCTGCGAGACGATTAAGGTGATACTTCCAGGCACATCAAATCGAGGTACTCACAAGCTACCCTATTAAACAGATCTTGCTTAAGCCGGAGACATCGGGTCGGCTGGCCAAGTGGGCAATTGAGCTGGGAGAGCACGACATAAACTATCGCCCAAGAACAAGTATCAAAGGGCAGGCATTGGCCGATTTCTTACTAGAAATTTCTGACGGAGGGAATCCAGCGAAAGAAAAGGTGTGGGTAGTTGAATAGGCCCCTACCGGCGATGGTTCATGGACCCTGTACACGGACGGAGCGTCCAGCAGGGAGGGCTCAGTGGCGGGTCTGATCCTGACTAGCCCAGAAGGAGAAGAGGTAACCTACGCCCTCCGTTTCGACTTCCATACATCGAACAACGAGGCGGAATATGAGGCGTTGCTCGCAGGGCTGCGACTCGCCAAACAGATGGGTGCGAAAGCTGTAACAGCGCTAACCGACTCAAGGTTAGCAACGAACCAAGTAAATGGGAGTTTTGAGGTAAGAGAACAAAGAATGGGAAGGTATGTAAAGATGGTAAAGCAACTGATAGAATCACTCGACCAATTCACAATCAAGCAAATACCCAGAAGTGAGAATAAGAGGGCAGACGCGTTGATCAAGCTAGCGTCCACTTGTTTCGACCACCTGTCAAAGAAAGTTTTAGTCGAGGTGCTTCGGGAGAGAAGCATTGATGAACAGCATGTGAACGTCCTGACCCACGCAGGACCCACATGGATGACGTCGTTCCGGGAATACCTCCAGAGAGGGGTGTTGTCGGACGACCATGACGAAGCCAGAAACATACGTATAAAGGCACCCTCGTACGCAATGGTAAATGGGGAGTAGTACAAGAAGGGGTTCGCGTCTCCATGGCTAAAATGTTTATATCAAGCCAAGGGAAGAGAGACACTGCAGGAAGCACATTCAGGGCAGGTAGGCGCACACGAGGGAGCGAGGGCAATGACAGGAAAGGTGCTACGAATGGGGGTATAGTGGCCAACAATACATCAAGACGCAATAGAAGTAACCAAGAAATGTGGGGAGTGTCAATCTTACGCCCCAGTCCAGGCGGAACCCCCGGTGTCGCTAAGCAACATATCCAGCCCATGGCCTTTCTACCAATGGGGCATTGACATAGTGGGTCCATTCCCAGAGGCACCAGGGAAGCTGAAATATATGGTGGTAGCTGTGGATTACTTCACAAAGTGGATTGAAGCTGAGCCATTGGCATGCATATCTGGGAGGCACATGATAAAATTTGTGTGGAAAAACATCATGACAAGATTTGGAACACCTAAGGTTCTCATCAGTGACAATGGTTTGCAATTCGCTGAGAACCCATTCAGAGAATGGTGCGCTGCCTAAGGGATAAGCCAGCGCTTCACATCGGTGGCACACCCCCAAACGAACGGTCAAACAGAGGTGTCCAACCGAACCATCATCAATGGGATCAAAAAGAGGTTGGGCAAAGCAAAAGGGAATTGGGCAGAGGAGATACCAATAGTGTTATGGTCATACAGGACTACGCCACGGAAAAGCACAAGGGAAACCCCTTTCAGCTTGACATATGGGACTAAAGCCATGCTTCCCATGGAAGTGGCAATGAATACGCTAAGGGTGGCCAACCAAGATGAGGAAAGCAATGTACAAGGCCTGAGGATAAACTTAGACATCCTAGAGGAGAAGCGCGAAGAGTCGGGAGTACGCCAAGTTGCATATAAACACGCAACAGAAAGATATTACAACAAAAGGGTAAAAGAGAAGGCCTTCAAAGTGGGCAAGTATGTTTTGAGGAAAAATGAGTCCAGTCGGGCACAGCCCCAGGGAAAGCTAGGCCCAACATGGGAAGGCCCATACAGGGTCACAGAGGCAAACAGGAACGGGGCATATGTATTAGAGACGATGGAAGGAAGACCCATTCGAAGAACATGGAATGCTAGGAACCTAAATAAATATTTCTTCTAAGGAAGAGGAAAGATGAAACCCTAGTTGGTTGATATCCCATTAGATATGTTGCATCTTAGAGGTACTTAGAGTACATTTATCCATGCTAAGTGACATGAGAATTGATACTCAATGTATTCCTATATTTAAAGGCATGAGTTTAGTACTCGACATATATAAAATTTCATGCATGAGCGACATGAGCTTAATACTCAATGTATTTTTTTTTTTTTTAAAAAAACCGCAGTTAAATAGTAATGCAATTGCTGATTTCTCATACTTAGTGTAATGATATCCAACGGTTAAATGATGAGTGCTAAGCGCACTCAATATGAACACTTAGCGTGTCAATAATAGCAAACAAAGCAAATTGTTTGGCACATCTTGAGCAATAGATAATAAACGAATAAGCCAAACGTAAAACACAAAAGGAGATAATAGATAATGCTTAGCGCATACGCAAAAAAAAAAAAAAAAAAAAAAAAAAAAAAAAAAACATTGTTCTGGACAGTCCAACCGTTGAAAAGAAAATCACATAGACCAAACAAAACAAGGAAATATTACGGCTTCGAACCATCACCAGCAAACTTATCACCAACCACAACATCATCCGCAATCGCTTTCCCAGCCAACCCATCAGAAACTTCCCTATCATCTGCCACCTCATCAACACCGCCACCTCCAGCACCTACCCGACCATCACCACTAGCACCACAATCCTTACCATTTCCTCCCACACCAATGTCATTCACAAGCACCATTTCACGACTCGCAGCATCCTCACGAGTGCCCTCTGAACCAAAAGAACACAACTCTCGCAAACCATCAATACCCATCTCTCCCAGACCCAACAGACCTGCGCGATCCATACTGGCAAAAGATAAGAGAGCATCACTTACGCTAACCACAGGCCCGACAGACAACGAACTAGCACTCGCCTCTCCACTTTCACTGCCACTTAAAGCTTTCTGGGCAGATTCAACCCCGGCTACATATGCAGCATGGCGAATAAGACTGATAGCATTGGTAAAGTCAGGATGCTCTATCAGCTTATCAACGATACGCACAACACCAATTTGCAGCAGCCAATCCAAGTCTCGGCGAACAACACACACATCTGCTTGCAGCGACGACACAAGCTTGTCACGGTCAACGACGTCACGCTCGAGACTTTCAACCTGGATCATTAAGCCTTCATTCGTTTGGGTGAGAGAATCAACATTGGCCTCTAATGCAGCCCTAGCCTCATCAAGAACATTCTTCTCAGACGCCAATAGTTCACATTTCTTTTCGGAAGAGCAAAGATCATCACCAAGCTCATTTAGACTGCGCTCCAAGCTTGCCAAACGCGATCCACAGGTGGCATGTGAAGCCTCCACCTCACCCAGGGTGTGGATACACCGAGAACCTGCAACAAGATAAAACATCGCCTGTGCAACAGCATAAGCCATATTAGAAGCAAGGGCAGGATTACCCATCGCTCCCATATCCTCAACAGCAGCCGGGGGAAGGCATGACGTGAGAATTCCAGAGCGTTGGCACGAACAGACAAACGAGAACCATCATGAAGATTCCAAGATGGCACAAAGACTGTAGGCTCATAAACATCACCACCAGGTCCACTGTCATTGGAAGCCATAACCGACCCAAGAGGGTCGAATTCCTTCGCCGAGAAAAGCTTGGATGGAGCACACAAAATAGTTAGAGAAGGAACGGAAGACAAATCGGGAATAACGGGCTGTTCAGTCGCCCTATTGACCCCCTTAGACTGTTGCACATCATCATCTGGAATCACAACCATGCCAGCAGAGGTGGAGTTTACTGGCGCGGAACTCATCGAACTCAGCAGGCGAGAAAAGTTGCGCCTAGTATGCACCCTCTTGGGGGCGGGAGGAGCGCCAGTCACCGGCTCACCCATCGCCTACACCCACCGAACGTCAGCAGTAACACCCTCTTTGTTGTCCTCACAGTCCTCCGGGGAAGAAGAAGAAACGTCGCCCATTGGCATAACAGAGGAAATTGGGCGGGCAAACAACGGATCTCCCCCAGGTGCCGACAAGCCCGCTGGAGGTACTGAAGGAGTAGGAGTGTTGGGACGATCTGCTCGACGAGGAGGGGGAAGATGCTCGAACAGATCCACCTCACGAAACTCCAGTTTGCCTCGATAGCGTTTACGCAATACCTCATCCATGGATAAGGAAGACTCAACACCTAAAGAAAAACATAACGAAATACAAGTCACAAAGGGGCGGCTAAAAGAAACACCAAAAAAAAAGGGCGAATGCGACACTCACCGTCAATGACGGAGTAGAACATTGCCATCTTGCCACGCCGCCTCTAGGAGGGGCTCATCCCTACCCCGGACATGATCGCTTCGGAGTAATCTTCAGCGGTTACTTGCACACTTTTCAGGTAATCGGCCACTTCCTGATTGTGAGGAAAGAGCTTGGGGACAGTATCGGCGAAAGTGTTGGCATGATAACGGCCGTTGCCAACTAGTTCCTGGTTCACCCACAACCACTTGTCTTGCCAATTCTTGGGGGTACGCCCATCAAGAACTAAGGCATGCCCCCCTCACCGGGCCGAAAAAGTGCACTTGTCGCCGGTAAGGCAGAACCAAAAAAAGAACTTGAAAACGAAATAGTCAGGAACATACCCATTGGCCCTACAGATCATCTCGAAGGCAACCACTTTGTTAACAACATTAGGGGTCAACATCTGAAGACTACAGCCGTCCTTCTGAAGAACCTCCTCTTGGAAATCTGTTAGAGGCAATCGTATGCCAACATCTAGGGTTTTTAGGAAAACCACAATTTTTCCAGGGGGAGAAGAGATGCTAGAGCCAGCAGAGGGAAATTCCACACCTTCTAAGAAGGATAAGCCATACATGACCTCCAACTTTCGGTACTCGGCAGAAGAAGGGATGATCCCAGGGAGATTAGCCATAAAGAGGAAGAAGAATGAACACGACGAGAAAAGAAGAATATAGGAAGCAAAAGAAACTGTGCGAACACCCTCTTAAAGAAGAAGAAGAGGCGGGACATTTAAATGACTGATGTGATGATGTAACTGCCAACAATCACGTCACCATTAAAAACGGAGCGACGGATAAAGAAAAACGAGCATGCGTCATTCAGTTAAGCCTAGAACGTCGTAACTAGCGCTGCAACGCTACGGCTACTAGACCGGGTGACTTGATGGCGTGCCTAGGGCAGCACATCAGAGTTACATCCAAGCGCTAGAGCCGAACACACCAGCCAGGTCCGGCCCAATAGGCTCAGCGCCCGCTGGCGCCCCCGGGAACGGAACGCCCAGGCGAAAGGCTCGTGCCCGCCAAGTCATTGCTCTTTGCTCCAAGACAAAGTACAGCCAGGAGACAAGCAGTGGGATCAGAGCATTACTGTTAAAGCCAATGAGAGCGCTTTGACAGAGGAAGGCGCATGACCCTCCAATCAGCCCCTCTGATCCTGTCTCCCCAAAAAGCGATCTTGTCTGGTACGGACCAGGAAGGGGCGCTAGGTATAAAAGGACGCATTCTCATACTAGCGAGGTAAGCTCTTTAACCGATCTAAAGAGAATGAAAACAAACCCTAGAGCCATCCTAACTTGACCGTCGGAGCGTTCTCCCGGAAACTCCTCCCGGGAAGCGGCTGACGGCCCTTGTTCTTTGTGACCTTGCAGATACACCCAGGCAACCAAGAAAGTTCCACTCTAGGATAAGAAGCGGGGTCTTACCAGGAGCAAGGTTCCATCATATGGTATGTGGTATATTGCGGAACTCACTAAGCTTCGTGCTTACAGTTTTCAGTTTTGGTTTTAGGTACTTCCGTTAGCAGAGGGAAGAGCTCGGGATGACTGCATGGCACGCACCAAGAAGTTTTAGCCTAGGATGTTTACTCTGATAAAAGAACATGTTTTGAGATGATACTCTAATTTGATATAAACCTTTGCTTAAGAATGGAATGATTTGATACTTATGGCTTATTTAATGTCTTTAAAAATGAAATTTTTGGTCATGGTTTTTGGGATGGTTTTTGGGATGTTACAATTGTTGACTTTTAGTGATACATAATATAGTAAATTGTGACCATAAACTACGTTTAGTCACACAATTTGTTCCTTTGACATGACTATTATATACTTTAAGTAACACATCTTTTATTAAATTGTGGCTATAAACTACTATTAGTCACACGTTTTTTCGTTTTTCATGAATACTTCTGACTTTTAGTGACATGAAATATACTAAACCGTGACCATAAACTACTTTTAGTCACATGTTTTTTTTGTTTTTCATACCTATTATTGACTTTTAGTGACACGTAATAGATTAGACGGTGATTATTATTGACATTTAATCACACTTTTTGTTTGTAATGACTATAGTTGAACAACTTAACATTATTTATATGCGAAATACTGATCAATTAACATCATGCATCATGTACGTCATTCTGATAAACAACTTAAATTAATAAACGTATTATACAAATTGTTTAATACAATTAAATACAAAATATAATAAAATCCACCAATTGTTATTTAAGTTGTGTTAGTCCTCAATGCCATTTACCTAAACAAGCAACATGTTTTCACCAATTGGTAAGATTTCTCAAAGTACAATGTTAAAATAGGAAAATATGGAAAGTATGATACTATAATGACCAAAAAAACATTAGGACTTGATTTGTTTTATAGGCTCTTGTGATTAGGACTTGATTTTCTTCCAAGTTTTTTTGATGTTTTTTAAATCATTGACTTGTCGACCTTCTATGAACTCCATGGTCAACAATTTTGAGGTACTTAGACTCCATTAGAATTTAGGTGCATACACATATTCTACAATATGAGGAGATAAACTTCGAAAATTGTCCATACATTTTATGTTGTTCTTGGCCTCATTTAAGAAATCTAGCTCCTGATAATCGTCATTAGAACTTATTAATAATAAAATTAGAAATTAAAGACGGAGCAAGGGTAAGATATTACAAATCAAAGGTTTTTGCATATCTCATAATCCTAAGTCCTAACATATAAATGGAGCAAATTATAGGTGTTAGTTGTTAAAATTCGAAATCTAATCTTGGGTGAAGTTTCATGGACTTCATCTACCAACCACCTACATCATCACCAAGAAAATTTTAGCCCGCATGGATGAAAAGATTCTTGACATCAAGTCTAGATGATCGAACCCTAAAATTTTTTACTCATAAGTTTATGCAAAAGATATGGTCAATGCAATATCATGCAAAAATGTATAAACTTGTAATGAAATGAAGATATAAACCTGTAGTCAAGAAAAGGAAAGCAACGGTGCACATTGTTTACAAATAAATTCCATTGTAGAAAAAATCAACAATTGTAGTATTTGTCATGTGTATATGTTGTACCTAGAATGACAAAACCTAAAATGACAATCTTGAAGTTTATATAATTAAAAAAAAAAAAAAAAAATTCAAGAAACATTCATTTTATGGAACAAAAAAATTAAAAGAAAGTTATTTTATCTAAGTTTTCATGTATTCGCAGCCGATGTATATTGAAGTCAAAAACTTATTTTCTAGAAATTCAACAAGGGTATTCATGGAAAGCAACATGTCATACCAGTTGACCAACATGTTGACCAAGAACCAGTTAAAGCTTTTACAAGATCCAAGAGCAGATATTAGCAGAGGTAAAAGAAATTGAATGTTAATCACAACTAACAAACCCAAAGAATTATTTATATTTTAGAATTGCAAGCTCAAGATTTTCAAATGAATTTCAAATTAAGTACACATACCGAAGGCAATTGTAGCAGCGGTCACAGGGAGACGAAAGAGACGGAGATGGATGGTTGTGCAATCTTGAGGGAGGTGGTAGGATCATCGATGTCGGTGTTCATAGAGCTTACCGATGGTGACGGGAAAGGGTTGGAGGAAGTTTGATTCTAAACTCCTCGAAAGGGATGTCCTACCGATTTCAATCTAGAACTAACAAAGGGTTGGGACTTCATGTTTGACTGATCAGATAAACAACTACAGGTAGCGATGGCCGATCGATTTGTTTGGGAAGATGGAGAATAAACAATCGGTTAATGTAAGGGTACATGAACATGGCTACAAAAGAGAAAAAAAATGAGAGAATAGGGGATTAGGATTGGGTCTAATGTTTTTTTTAGAGAAAAGGAAATAAAAATATTTAATTTTTGAAAAAGGGGAAAACTATTAAAATTTTAGTAAAGAGGGAAAATTGAATTTTTTTTTTAGATGACCGAAAAATTAAACACCCTCTAAATATTCGGTTCACTTTTCAACATTCATCTGTGATTATAAAACACTTCTAATTACATGTTTTTTTTTATTATTGTTATAATTTGTTAGTTTTAGATATACATAAAAATTAAAATATGATTACAAAATACTTTTAGTTACATGTTCTGTTTTTTTAAATGTAGAAATAAAGTATTTCCGGTCACATATTTTACTATTTTATATTCAAAATCATTAACTTAAGACATACATATGAAATTAAATTGTTATCACATCTTTTTTTTTAAATGTCATAAAATGTATGAACATAGTTTTCAATGGTGACTATTGCTTAGTATTTGTGACACTTTTTTATAAAACAATGACAAAATGTGTGGACATAGTTTTCAATGATGACAGTTTTTAGTTAATATGTGATTAAAATATTACTGGAATTTGATTAATGACATTTAGTGATTCAATTAACCAAATCTGTGACAACCCTATTTCTAAAAAGCATGAGCATAGATCATTTTTTTGTACTAGTGCAAAAATTAGAACAAAGTTTTAGTTATCATAGAAGAGATTCTTTACGTATTATTTTTGCTAATTATACAACTCAAAATCAATGTTGTAAAAATCAGTCTTGTCTTCGGTTTCGATCCGACTATTCTAATAAGAAGATTTGTAGTAAATGTGTTTTTGGCGCCTTAAAGGTGTATTATATGTTGACTAAGTGTAAAATTATTATAACTTTTATAAAACTAATTTCCTTAACGGAATAAAACCAAAATAATTGAATAGTCTAGAAATTGGTAGAAACGCGAACTCGTCGCGACAAATGAAGATGAGTTTCTATTGGTTGAGTGGTACCAAAAGGTATTTGATGAAAGTGTAGCCAAATCTATCACCATCAATATTACCTGAACAATGTTTAAGTTTAAGAGAAATTTACGAAAATAGTTTATTCTATTGCCGCTTTAGTCTAAAATAGCTAAAAATTATCATTTACCCAAAAATAAACAAATATAGACCAGGCTAACACGTCGTCAATTTCTTCTAGTCGTGTGTGATTCCGAGATTTAAAAATAAAATAAAATAAATAAATAAATAAAAATCTCATTTGCTCACACACGAAATCTTAGATGACATATGGCCCTCTGTGGTTTCTTCTTACATCGTCCGGTTTTCTCATTATGATTTTTTTTATTGTTTTCAATATAAGTTTGACTGTGGTTTTCTACATTTTTTCTTATAATGTTGACATCTTTGACTACGATTTAGTACATTTTCACAAGTCTATACATAAAATTTAGATATTATTTTTGAAAATTAGTGTTATTTCGTTGTGTTTGTAGCTGGCAGAGTGAAGATGACATGGGTTGATATAAGTTGGGTTCGGATTCAACTCATTTATAAATTGGGTTAAAGATCTCAACTCAACCTAACATGTTTATTTAAATGAGTTGATATTTTTAATCCAACTCAAACTTCTAGGTAAATGGGTTGTCACAGTATTAACTTGTTTATGTAGTTTTCGTTCCAACTTATTAAATAAATTGGTTAAACATAGGTTAACAAATTTAAAATAAAAAACGTAATAAATTAACTTAATATTATACAACTTAAATTAGTTTTAATCGTAAATAAAATTTCAAAATACAAAAAAAAAAAAAAAAAAAAAAAAAAAAAAAAAAAAAAAAAAATCTTAAGTCA